CATTCTTCTTCATAAAAAAGAAAGACGGAAAGTTAAGACCGGTTCAAGATTATAGGAAGCTAAATGATATCACTATCAAAAATAGATATCCACTTCCATTGATTGGAGAACTAGTAGACAAGTTGAGTGGAGCAAAATACTTCACAAAACTAGACGTAAGATGGGGATATAACAATATCCGAATGAGAGAAGGGGATGAGCATAAAGCGGCGTTCAGAACAAATCGGGGGTTATTTGAACCATTAGTCATGTTCTTCGGACTGACAAATTCCCCCGCCACATTCCAAACAATGATGAACACCCTTTTTAAGGAATTGATAGACGAGGGACTGGTGATCATATATCTGGATGATATTATGATATTTACAAAGGATATAGAAATGCACAGAGCAACGACGCAACGTGTATTAGAAATCCTTAGAAAGAACCATCTCTATCTTAAACCAGAAAAATGTGATTTCGAACAAAAAGAAGTAGAATACCTGGGACTGATCATCTCAGAAAACGAAATTCGCATGGACCCGGTGAAAGTGGAAGGAATTAGCAAATGGCCAGAATGCAAAAATAAAAAAGACATACAAGCATTCTTGGGCTTTGTAAATTTCTATAGGAGATTCATAGAAGGCTTCGGGGAAGTAGCCAAACCGTTGACCAAGTTAACGGGAAAAGAGGACTTCATTTGGGGAAATGAACAACGCGAAGCATTTAACACATTGAAACAATGCGTAGCTTCAGCCCCGGTGTTAGCTCTCCCAGTACCACATAGCCAATACAAAGTAGAAGCAGACAGTAGTGACTTCGCTATGGGTGCTGTTTTATCACAAAGACAAAAGGATGACTGGAAGCCAATTGCATACCTCTCCAAAGCGTTGAATCCCACAGAACGCAATTACGAGATCTATGACAAAGAACTTCTTGCCATCATGACGGCACTTAATGAATGGAGACACTATTTGATAGACGCGGAAGAAGAGTTTGAGATATGGACAGATCATCAAAATCTGTTATATTTCAAAGAACCAAGGAAGTTGAACAGGAGACAGGCACGGTGGATGACGGAGTTGAGTCAGTATCATTTCACGATACATCATATGCCGGGGAGAAAGCATATAAAAGCAGATTTACTTTTGAGATGATCAGATCACAACAAAGACGTTGTACTGCTAGACAAGAAATTGTTTGTGAGGATGACTCTCTCATCGGAACAGAGGCAAAAAATTGCAGACAGTCAGGAACGAGAGCTGGAGATTTCAAAATGGATCTCAAAGAGGAGAGGAAATGTGGATGAATTGATAAAAAAGATGAAAGGAAAGATAGAGAGGAGAGAAGATGGATGGTTTGATGAAGACGGTTGCATAGTATTCAAAGGCAGGATCTATGTACCAAAGGATGCCATGTTAAGGGAAGAAATTATTAGACAAAACCATGACTCTACCGTTGCAGGCCATCCAGGAAGATATAAAACGAAAGAGTTAATCACTCGACAATACTGGTGGCCCTATATGGACAGAGATATCACGAGATACGTCGATGGATGCGAGGTCTGCCAAAGAATCAAGACAGACCATAAAAAGAAAGCAGCACCGCTCCATCCGAACGAGATCCCGGATAAACCTTGGCAGATCATATTGGTAGATCTGATCGGACCACTACCAGAATCAAATGGGTATAAAATGATAATGGTAGTAGTAGATCGATTTACAAAAATGATCAAGGTAATTCCCACACAGATGGAAATCACCTCAGAAGGAGTAGCACGACTGTTTAGAGATCACATATTTAGAAACCACGGCATACCCGAAAAGATCATCTCGGTGTCGATGATGAGAACTGTAGTTAGAAAACCACACACAAAACAAACTAACACACAATCCTCCCAGATTCCACGGAACTTGTTTATGGGCTTTGCCTCCTAGAACAGTGGAGTGGTCTGGTTGTTCGTGGGGTGGTACGTATAAAGATCCTTCAAAGTAAAACCCAGAGGTGTATGAGTGTGGGTTTTGAGGAGGAGGGATAGTTGAATTTATAGAAGATAGGTGCTTAGTGACGAGTATATATGAGCACTACCTTGCTAATTGTAGCACAAGGTAGGTTTGAGAACAACAAGGATGACGAGGTGACGAGGTTCCCAGTGATAGCAGGCTCCTGACGCACAAACTGTAGTGCTCAGAAGGACTCTAATCGAAGGGGATGACAATCACTTTTCAAAAGTGACGAGTGACGATGATAGCAGTTAACAGTGGTAGAAGTGGTAAGTGTTGTGACCACACTGGATCACAAGTAGCAGAGTAGTGAACTTGAGAGTAGAGAAGAAGTCTGGATTGGAGTTCTTTTTTTACAAGGTAAAATACAGGGGTTTATATAGTAAAAGAAAAGTAGGCTATACACAGTATAGCTGTGCAAAAAGAATGAGAAAGAACATGAAGGAAGGAATGTATGCTGACGAATCCTGCGTAGGTAGTACAGGATAAGATTGTCAAAAAAAGGAAAAGAAAGAGATAGAACAATGAATGCTGTGAGTAATGTCACAGGTTTGTACAGCCATAATGTAAAGTCCAATAGCAAAAAGAGAGCAGGAAAATCATGATGTCATGGGAAGATGCAGTAAAAAAAGGGCAAGGCAAAACACTATCAGTATCAACACAGTTCCTTTATTGTCAGTCAGGCATTCTAAAAAAATATGTGTCCATAAAAATGATTCAAAAATCAAAAATAATTGCACTGTAAATGAATGTTCTGCTGAAGAAAAAGAAACTGGAGCCACCGGTCCACCACCTAGTCCAAATCCGACAGTTCCATGGCCTTACCAATGGACTGGTTGTGTTGGACCACCTGATCAAACAAGGGAGGGAGAGGAGTAGTTCCAATTTGGAACAAGTGAGTCCCAGGCAGCGTGTGGTAGGTGTAGCTGTAGCAAAGACGATGGACAAAAGATAAGTGTACCCAAGTGAATGGGACAGCGATGAACATGGGCAACGCAAGGGGATGAACCTTCTCCAGCTCAAAAATTACCCACCCACGCTCCAACCAGGCAAGACGAGCGACCAATGTTTTGATAGTATATGATGGCAGATCGACGTCATGAAGATGGACCTGTTGCCCTATTTGGACCGGCCGCCGGGGCTTTGCTGATATCAGCAGTGGCACGTGGTAGTCAACGGATCGGCGACGGAAGCGGATAGGAAGTGGTGACATCAGAAATGGTGGGGGTGCAAATAAGATGAGGAGGAGGAGGGTGGAGGTGACAAACAAGTGGATTAGAATGGGGACCCAGAAACGACCGTCAGGTGAGAATAAAAAGGAGAGGAAGGGGCCCATGGTGGGGCTAGGCAAAGGAAGGGGAGTAAGGGAAACGACAAAAGCGAGGGCGCAATGCAATGTGTAGCCAGTGGCGACGCGAAAATTTGCCGAAATGCCGAAACGCGGAAAGTACCGGATGGAAAAGCAAAGGTGAGCGTGACTGGATTGCCTAATAGAGGTGGTGCTGATCAGCCACAAGTTCAAAAAGGGCAATATTAATTACTATTCCACGTGGCACTGTGCCTGTGTGGCGCAAAGGCGAGTCTTTTTGAATATTCGCTTCGTTATTGACACCTGTCCATGCTACCAATCAACTTTGGTGCATGACAGCGCCTCATGGCTACTGCATGTTGTATCAGTCAGCGCCTCATGGCTGACTTTCAGAAACGTATATATAGTGAACACCCATGTACATATTTTCCTTAGTTGTTGATTACTTCTCAATCGATTACTTGTGACGCTACTTGTCGATTTAAGGTCTTCATCCCTCTGTTAGTTCGGTATAGGGGATAAGGCTTTTACAAAAACCCACACTCATACACCTCTGGGTTTTACTTTGAAGGATCTTTATACGTACCACCCCACGAACAACCAGACCACTCCACTGTTCTAGGAGGCAAAGCCCATAAACAAGTTCCGTGGAATCTGGGAGGATTGTGTGTTAGTTTGTTTTGTGTGTGGTTTTCTAACTACAATTCTCATCATCGACAGCGAGTAGCAGTGAAAATAAAACAAGACTAACCTCATAATTAGATGAAAGACATCAAGTGCAACATGTGTATTGGGAAAGACCTTGTAGATGTCTCCACGGACCTGACAACAATTGTCTACTACTACCATTTCTGGCAATGGTTGTCCCTGCTGTGTGAACCGATGCTTAAGTCCTGTGAGCGCTTCCTGGATCTCAGCACCCGCTTTGCTCTGACACAGTCTCTGTTTTGGTTTATTAGATGTCAAACACCTGCTAGTGACTCGGACAAGCTTTCAGACAAGTTTTATTACTCACCCAGGTTAGTATTTCATTTCTCTCATTTATCACACTGAGAATGCCTCCCTTCATCAGATTAACCCTGGCCTTATCTGCATCAACAACAGTGGCTTTCTTAGCCACTTTAAAGGTGTTGTCAAGTGATAATGATGTCCCTGGTTATATGGTGAGGATAACAGTTTCTAATATGAGTTACAAAGAACATTACCACTTAGTGTTTATAGGTAGTCACACGACTCAGCCTTCCGTGTGCGGTCATTTACCTCGAGGAACATATTGGTAATTAAGTCAGCGGTGATTGGTTTGCCACCACACATGTCATTTGGTGCTGCAAACTCTTCAAGGTTGTCACATGCTTTGATGGTTACACGTGTACGCCTTCTTTGGTAAGAAGTCAAATATTCATACACACACCAGTGGTAATGAAGGGCATGCAACTCTATAGTATGTTCTAGACTATGAGCAGCATTCCAGATGCATGGTAAGCATGTTCCTACTTACTTTTAATATTCTCTGCAAGGCCTGCTGATGTGTTTGATAGTCAAAGTTTGATCAACAGATCAAACAATTGGCATGTGACTGCACAGCGCTTGAAAAAAATGGGGATGCAACCTATCAATGCATAACGGGTGAGTACTCTTTATTATGCAGCTTCAATACTGACGAGGTATCTTCCAGAATTCCCATTTCTCCCAAAACAAGTGGCTTGTTGTCACACAGCAATAATCTCCATTTTCATCACCATCAACTTCATTGCAGGCCCCGCATTTCTTGCATCGTAATTGATAGCCAAGTGCATGCTCCTCTTGTTCAAGCCCATGGACCTCTCTAGGCCCCGTTGATGTCCACCCTCACCAAAGGACCTTCTCATTGTTTCACAGCTCAGGCATTGTGTGATTCCTTCATAATAGAAAGGGTAGATAATACTGAGCAGTTTCAGGTAGGCAATTTGTGGCTTGATGCTCGGGTCGCATAATTGCTTTTCCAAGTGTAGGTACTCAGGAGGGGTGAATCGAGGCCCATAGATAGGTATGTCATTCATTAAGCTTGGCTTATTGAAATAGCCTTACTATTTGCTGGTAGCTTTGTTTGCTGGTAGACATAGTCGATGTACTGGACAATGTGAGCTTCCCACTCATATTGTACTTCCTGAACCTTGCTGACTTGCTGGCCATGACAACTTGACCAGGTCTTCACCTTGCTTTGTACCTATTTTAGGTGAGAGTTTAGGCCCATACTCATGCCTTCTATTTATTAGGCTTACCCCCACATTCCACTCAGAAACAAATTTATTCTGGGTGGTATGATCTGCAAGTCTGTTCTTCAAAATTAACTTGACAACACTTGGTTCAAAGGCAGTCATTTTATGAGCAGAGGAATATGATCTACCAGGACAGAACAAGATTCGAGAGACGGGTAAGCAGCCTCTTTGTAGTAGAGCCCTCTTATACTGATTTTTTGCTTACATTTGTTGTCATACCCCTGTGAAGTCACTCTACCCGCTGGTGAAAATAAATGTATATATTTGACAACTAGCCTGCTATACTACTATTGAATGTATGACATGATTGAGAAAAATGGATGTGATTGGGCTGTATGAGGTAAAAGAGTAAAATATAAAGAACAAATGAAATAATTGAGTGACATGTATATGGATTGAGACAATGAGGCAAGAGAGTAGACATATCAAGATAACCGAGAGGTTTTGCATACCAAATAAACTAACCTCTTGAATTGAGAGAAACCGAGCACAGATGAGCCTCCTGTATTAAATCCTGGGACACTTGAAAGTGTGATCTCCATGGTACTGGTTTTCTGTGCATCTTCTAATGATTCCAGTTGATGGTGCTCTCTAGAACTGTTGAAAAAGGACAACCTATCCACACGAGAGCACTAGCGGAAAAAAAGTTAGTGTATAGGCCTAGATTGTGATGTAACATACCTGGTTAGGCTACAATGTGAAGGAAGCATTCAAGGGGCTCGCAAGAGGTCATACAGCAGATGTGTAGCCATCAACTCAGGGAGGTAATTGTCTGAGTTGTTACTGCAGCTATTGTTGACATGTTGCCGGAGGCTACGGTGGTTGTTTGGTTACAGTTGGAATGCCAGTGATGGCATCGGATTTCTTTCAACGACCAACAATTTTGATAGGTCTCTTCAAATATTCCTAAGGGCATGACCATATCTGTAAAAATAAATGTAGTATATTGTGCTTATTCTCATATGTGGTAGCCTGTATTTGTTATATTTACATTGAAAAAACAGAAAAGTAATCAACGAGCAGGAAACAAGAGATGATAATGCCGGTGCAAAAGCGAGAATACCTGGATGAATCAGTAAACATGGATAATATAATAACTTACAATATGTGACTGCCCATAAAATGTGGGTGGCAACTGTGGCAACAAGTGATAAAGTCATAAAACAAGAATAAAATAAAAACTCACGTTTTATCCACAGCACCAGGGTTGCTATACCGTGATATGACCACCAAATTAGCAACATTGTATGGCCAGACTATCAGAGCTGAATGACGGGGCTTGGTTAGTTGACTATAGTGCGACAGCCATAGAAATTTTAGTACTGCACAGTTATGCGGATCTGTGGCCATGTTATTAGTTACAGGTCACACCATCACACACAACGAGGTTTTTTCCTTACTACCGCTCACTGGGTGCTCAATCTCGTCCAACGCTGCAGCCACTATTCTGGATCCATTCCATCACAATGCTCACTCCACAGATCAGCTAAAACCCAATTTTTTTTTTTTACTCTGGCCACTTGAGGTTGACTGAGCATGCAAAATAGGTAAGCGTGACTTTCTGCTTACCTAATATTTCCAGCTGACATATGCCTTGTACCCCCTTGCACTCAATCCCTGGCCTGCCTGCGAACTTTGCCATACAAATGTTATGTAGTAACTATTTTCCTTTCCATATTCGTGACATTTTGTCTTCACCAATTTTCCCTGTACTTGCAAAGCACATTTTATAATAATATTGATACTCACAACAATCACGGTCACACTGCATGGGCAAATTAGAGGTATAAAAGCGGCTGTTGAATATACTAAGATGCTGTGTTCCGCGGTGTTTAAAATTCCAACCGTAACCAAACGACCACCGTAGGAGGCTGAGATGGGTGTAAAATGAAAGAAGTGAGGCACGTCTTCGAAAACAGGAGATGTGCCTTGGTGACTGTTTTTAGGTGCGCCAGAGTCTCCCCGAACCTGCCTGGCTTCTTCTACGGCCCGCCTTCGGCGGGACCTGTCTTCCTATGACCGATTTTTCGGTTGACGCGACGTGTCTAGTCATGTGACTCTTCTTAACGCCGAAAAGGTCAGCAACGGTGAGGTGGTAACCAATTGATTAAGACTACAACGCTCCCATACTGATAAGATCTTTATCCGATTACTAGTATATGCGTCCAGTTGCTTCAGTCTCATAGAGGGATCACCCAGTCAACTCTGATTTCTTGCATTACATGCCCTCAGAACCCCATCGTACCATTTTCATTCCCGCTGACCTTGGTACCGCGGCTGATTTTAATTCTACGGCTGAATTTTTGCGCTACGAAGTAGAGGGCTCGCACACTTTACTTGAAAAGGGAGAATACTGGTTATCTCTCTCTCTTTCAAGTCTTCGGTCTATTCAGGAACAGTCTAGAAACAGTGGGCTGAACTTTGATGACTATGTAAATAGAGCAAAATCTCATTACGATAAGTGCGTATCTTCAGTTTTTGGTATCTTACCTTCTAAAGTTTGAAGCATTCAGCTTAGATAAATTGAGGCAAGACTTAGAAGAACGACGCCAATCCTCAAATTTATTCAAATGGTTCTTCATCCATTACGATACTCGAAAATTTGTGAAGGCTGGTCGACGTTTTTACAAGCAAAATAGGGTTAGTACTTTGCCTGTATTATTCTAGGGTTATTTTTACTCACCAGCATTTATTTTGCGCTCTCAGAGAACATCCGAAGAGTTAAAGAGGAGACTCTTATCTAGTGAGAATTTAAATACGAAGTTGAAAGGTGCAATGTTTTTTTTATGTGCAGGTGTGCAGGCTCTCTAACACGTTCTAGACAAACAATTGTCTTGCACCTTACCTCCGAGGCAAGGTATTTCAGGAATTGCGGTGGAGGTACCACCCACACCAGATCCCCAAACGATTGCCCTGATTGACGACACAGCCAACTGCCTAGGATGTTTCTCCCCCAGCAGTCCGGATCACCTAGGTGCACTACCAGAGGAGCCAGGACTCGATTCTCAGGCTGATAGTAGGATGAATGAGAACCCAGAAGTTTCCTGTTGTCATGAGTCCTCCGGAGTACCGCGATCCCTCTCTGAGCGCCAGAAAATACTAAGCATAGTACATGGGCTTGGGGCTGAAAATGCTCAAGCTGACGACAAATCCCGAGGAGATGTTCATATCCACGTTCATGCTGCTCTTCATAACCCAACATTCAACGTAGGTGGGAGTTCCAATAGTGGATCAGGTAGGTACGACGTGATATCCACAAGCACACTATAACATTGTATCATTCTAGTTACGCAGAGCGTTACTCAATCACCAAACAGTATCCAAGAGTCTTGCCGTATTTCCCCCTAGCCAATACGATATTATCAAACCGCCCAATTTTTGCGACACGTCGATCGCTTTTCTTGCTCACTTCCTCACATTCGGTTCCGGAAGATTGTCTGTAATTGTACACAAATCAACTCTATGAAATATTTCTTTTGGAGGTTGGATTGCCCGTCGTGAATTTTGGCCATGTGTACTGCATGCACTTATCGAAACTCTCCCTGGACTAGTTTATCATAGACTTCAAGCATTCCTGATCTAGATAAGTCTTGTCATTGGTGGTATTGCGGCTCACAAAAGTTTCCGTACACTGAACATTGTCTCCTCCCGATCGTCACTCGAGGCACGCACAACCACTCAATAGCCCGACCTAGCAAAGGTTTCTAGAATACAAAAGCCTTTGAACTATGCTCACGAACGACAAATTGGTGAGTGACAGTCGGAGCATTCCGGAATGTTACAGAAGCACACGTGACGGCCCACTATTATTTGGCTTTGTATTTGGGAGACCCAACGCTCACATAGACTCTTGGGTATGTAACTTCATTTTGTACCATGCCCCTCGTGAATTTTTTCGTGTACGAGAGAGACTGCCGCTTCGTCTATGGATGCCCTACTTCGGTCAAATGCCAAGACGATGATATAGTGGCTGATCTGCAAGAGCTCATTGCTGTCAAACTCAATGTGATGGCACCTAGAGTTCACTATGGAAGGTACGATATTACTTGTATGCCTTTCCCCGTGCTAAAGCGCTATCAGCCCCACCAATTTTTAGGCATACGAGACACCGAAGAACTTCGCTCACGTTTGGAGGATAATTGCCACAGACTCGAACAGTTCTGTGACAATCTCATCTATAATGGAGTTGAAGATTTAGTCAGTTCTGTTACATTGGCTACGAGCAGTAGGGGCAGGGAAAGCACAAAAACGGTGCTCATTGCTGAAATTATGCCGTCTCCGCCTCCTCAGGCTGAGGCGGGGCCTCAGGAAGAGGAAGAAGTTATCGGAAGATCATGGAAAAGTACGCATACCTATGATATCAGGCCTGACACTTCTGACACGCGTTTAGTAACTAGTGTTCTACAATGTCATGAATAAAACATTGACTGGCAAGTCTCCTTCCGCGAACACGAAGTCGGCCAATTATCACGCTCATCAGGAGCAGGAAACACCATTCCTCGATGGCCGTTACGCCAAGCGTTCCACGTCTACCTTGGCCCCCCCAATTGAATTATTTCATCATGTGTTCGCCGAGTTCAAAGCCAACGCCTGTAACGCATCCCTCCACCCGCCCTCCGATATCATCGGTCATACAGTGAAGCTAATGGAGGTTGCTTCCCAAATTTCGACGACAGAGATTTGCCGCGAAAAATTAACTCAGCGATATTTGACGGATATTTTGTGTCGTGGATTTGGTCAGGGTGTTAATTTTAATAGGACTTCGTCAGATCACCTCGTCGTGGCTACTCGCTCTGTGAACCCCGCCGAAATTGCCGCAGTCGCACTGGTGGAGGAGGAGAAAGCGGAACTGGGCTGGGGCGGGGATCCATCTATACAAGGCTCTTTTTCGTACCTCCAGTTCTGGGCTGGAGCCGATGTGCGTCGTCAATTTTTCTGCATCTGCCTGCATGGTTTGATATACTGTCTTTAAATAGCACGAACACATTCGCAATGCTACCTGTTGCCCATCCTTTATCATAGGTATTGGAGGACCTTGGGTCGTGATTCTAGGCGCTGTGATCACGTCCAGCCCAATCATTCAGCGTCTAACCGATTACTTATGGTTGGGTCATAGTCGTGTCATTGATGATAGTTACGCTCTCCGCCTGGCACACATATTATACTCGCTCCAGCTTGCGATGTGCACGCTCAATGAATACTACATGAACTTCACTCCTCCTTCTCCCGCGGAGAGAAAATATCGTTTTTTCCCTTCAATCACTTCCTATCGTTTTGGTGCTGAACAAGTTGTGAATTTCAAATATCAGCAGCCCCTCGAATCGGATGCTACGTGTGACGTTTTTGGCGATGCAGCTTCCTTCTGATGGCCAGGATGGGCAATGTATTGTCGTTAAATTTGTTGAGAGATATTGAGCTGAAGCGCATAGGCTCTTGGCATCGAAAGGAATGGCACCGCAACTCTGGCACTGCGGTCCCATCTGGCATGGCTCGGAACGCAGCTACGGAGAGCTTCAAACGGTCGTGACGGAATACGTAGAGGGTCAGACAGCAGCATCAAAGTATAGCGGTCGCTCAATTCCGGAGACAGTCCGGGAATTTGTTCGAAGGGCTGCCACATGCCTTGCAGATAACTTAATGGTTCATGGTGATTTGCGCAGGCCGAACATCTTTGTTGTGAAGAACGAAGAAGAGAAGGTTATGATTATTGATTTTGACTGGGCAGGTAAGGATGGGGTAGTGAGGTACCCACTGCATCTCTCGCGCGGTGTGCAATGGGCGGAAGGTGTTGAGGATTATGGGCTCATTAAAATCGAACATGATGCGGCAATGGTGAACCGTTTGTAGAATAATTACGTTCTCGCCTTCGACGACGGGTATTTCAATGTGTGTGGGACTCTACAGACCATGTCGCTGTGTCCGATATTGATGGGACTATCATAGGGTTAATTGACTTATTTGTGCAAGATTTTATCTTGGAGTACTAAGTAAAGTACTACAGATGGCGTGGAAGAGGATTATGGTTATGATGGTGGAGAAGAGGCCGCTGAGGAAGCGTTTGACGAGGACTTTTTTTGCTACAGGTGAGCCAAAGCATGTGCCATTTTTGTAATCGTAATAGTTTTACAAAGTACACACTAACGGAATAATCACTGCAGCTGGAACTAATGAACTTGAAAAGATACACATTTTTAGGGTGACCTTAAAGAGTCATTTCTTTTGCTTGCCAGTATCAGCCGATACTAGAGTCGACTCCATGGCGTCACTTCGAGTCACGCTGCCCCTGCTCGGATTATACTTACCGTATGTTCTACAAGCCACCTCTGCGTCCTCGTAAAGCGTCTTTAGCAATTTCTTTTCGTTTTCGGAAAACGTTGAAATGTCCCAGTCATCTTTCTGAAAACGGACCCCCCCCTTTTCTATAGCTAACCTCTGTAAAACTGTGTCCTTCCATTTTCTCCAAACTGTAGTATCATTTGGAAGGAGCCCGTCAAGTATCTTTCTGGGATCTTGTGGCTCCAGGGCGAGAATGACGAATACTACCATTGCTGTCCTAGTTCCCAGCTGATATCTCTCTATGTGTGGCTCTTTCAAGACTTTCTCGAACAACAGGTCTCTCTGCAACTTCTCCTTATCGATCGATGAAAGCCACAAACTATAGCTCCAGGAAAAGGCCAGTGAAATCAAAAACATGAACTGGCCGAAAAGAGTGCCTTGGGGAATCAGGAGTAGTTGGGCCAAGAACTGAACGGTCAATAACATGGAACATAGTCCAACGCTGTGATACTCCGGCTCATTGCTATATCGTAATGAGAATCTGCCCCTGGTGATTGTATTAACGGCGTCTTCATCACCCCGCAAGACCACCATGCCTTTGTCGATCACCAGCAGTCCATCACCAGGAGGAGCTCCTACAGCTGACTTGGGACGAACGAAGGTAAACGTCCCAGAGCCGATGACAAAACACGCAAGACCGTTGGCTACAATACCCAGGAGGATCATAGAGAAGCACCACCAATCTCCAAAAATTGCACAGACGGCACAGGTGCCCCAGCTGACTGCCATGGGGACGGCTGCCAGTAGAGTTGAATAGTTTCGAAATAGTTTCGGATGCTCCGTTGGCTCTGGGACATGTGTTAATTCTGCAATGGTTACCAATACAGGTGATGATGTCCTTCCCCCTGCATCGATGCACTTCATCTCCCGGGCCAACTCCTCACATTTTGAGACAAATAAATGTGCCAGGTGACCTGTCTGCTGCATGACAGTACCCGAATGTGTTCCGTGATATTTTGGTCCTTTTGCCCCATCCAACTCGAACATGACAGCTGGATCAACGTTTACGCCGGGGAATAGCCCATCCCAGAACCTCGAGTTGGCGAGTTGACCATAACGCTTTGCGACGACGTAACTCCCTGGGGAATTGTACCATCCCAGCCATTTCCTACCCTCATACATATGGACCGATGCCATGGCTGACACCGCCTCATCCCCTCCAAAGAAACCGGCGATTCCAGTGGCATTGAGCGTAAAATCTGAGTTTTGTAGTGGAATTGGGGGGATGATCATGAATTCGCGGGGATGGGGTGAAGTTGCAGGGTGTGGTTCAGGGTTACTAGAATCGGACGAGACGGCAATACATACTACAGCGCTGTTATATATGTACAGAATAGAAGCAACATACCAGGGAACGAGTCTTATCCTAGCCACATCTGTGGCATGACAGCGTCAAGATAGCTGGTACGAACTGCTCAGAATGTAGCATTAACTCCGCTATAGTTTGGTAGTATGGGGAGAAGTTGGCCGTTAATTTGAGATTGGGTTTCTCCTATTGTATACTTTATCCTGTACTGCTGTGCGCCGTGTCTATGAGCGCGCCTATCCTCATTTCACATAATAAGTACTTGGGTCTCATAACGGAACTTTGAGGACTGTTGTCAATGAGGCATTGATGGACCAGCGATCTGATATGAAGGGCATGTGTGTACAAGTAACACGCAAACTAGCGACAACGAAGTAAGAAGTCTTCTTCAGAGTCAGCACTCAGCCATCTGGTCATTGGAGCCGTCTTCCGTCTAGCAGTATGCCCACATCCCCGCTGTCCTCATTTGTGGATAGCATCCCAGATGGCAGAGTCACAAGAACATCCATGTCCGTCGCTATCGTTGACAACGCCGTCCAGCCGGCTAAGCGCCGTACCCTGGCAGACGTTCGCAACCAGGTTGCCCAAGAACTCGCCATCAAGGCCATCACCAAAGCACACATCGTAGACGGAGCCAGAGTTGGCGTCTATTTTACATTCTCCAAGAAAGAAGACGACCAGTTTCTCAGACTTGTTGCTACGCACATCGAGTACAGATTGCCAACAGACTATCTTTTCGCTCTCGCCACTACCGGCTCACCTCCAGATACCACCGTGACCGCCAACTCTCTTGTAATCTGCGGCTCATCTGACGATTTCGTCCAAAGGGCTATTCTCCTCGCTAGTTCCAAGTTCTTAGGTCGGGTAGAGTCTGTGGTAAATGAAGGGACGGTGTGGATTGCCGCAGTTCGAAACATCGGCTCTTCTTCGTACGATGAAGCTGCACTCTGGGACGTCGTTTGCAAGTCAGTCCGCGCACCCATAGACCCTCTCTGTCCTCCACCAGGATCTCGAAGCATCGATCAGATCCTATCTGATGCTCGGTCAAAACTGCAACGCGTGACTCCCCAGCAAGCCTATGAAGAGCTACATGATCCAACTTTTCCTATGCCTGTCTTCCTTGTTGACATTCGCCCGGCTGCTCAGCGTGAAAGGGAAGGCGGTATACACGGCTCTCTTATCATCGAGCGTAACGTTCTTGAATGGCGCTTCGACCCACGCTGTGAAGCCAGGCTAGCCATCGCAGATCGCTATGATCTCAAAATTATTGTATACTGCCAAGAAGGCTATACATCCTCGCTGGCAGCAGCGGCTCTCCATGAGCTCGGGCTCTTGAATGCCACTGATATAATTGGGGGTTATGCTGCTTGGAAAGCTGCGGGACTTCCAGGTCAGATCAAACCACCATCGACGGCTGCCGATAGCGAGAGCTACGTGCCATCCGAGATATCTGAGTCATAGAAATTCATGTCTGCAGCTATGCATAGTTGATCTTATGCTGTGATTTATTTTTTTCACTTCGCTGATATCAAATGTATCTCATAGACATGTAGCCTCTACACCTTTCGTCCTCTATTTCTATTGTTGCGTGTGGATTATTTATGTTTACTTGTGGTTTATTAGGAGTTCGTCCCCTGTATTCCAGCCGATCCTAACGATAAGGTATCTCACTAATGAGGTGAAGTTTCTTTCGGTGCTAATGATCGAGTCTGGATCGGTTTAGTAAAGAGGATGTATACACGATATAAGGTAAGGCCTGAAGCTTGAATGGTCCTTCTGCTACAGCTACTTATGATCTTGATAGCACTCGATATGCCACCCACCGCATATACTGCACACAAGCCTGAGGAAATCTAGTAGACTTCATCCCAGTTGAAGTTTGAATCTCAGACTAGTAAACTGCAGACCGTCACGTAGGAATTATTTGTGCAAAACTACGAAATGTAAAATCTGCCTTTCATGTTGCCATGCTAATGCAGAAATCTGGCTCGTCAGAATCAGGGGCGGGAGTCGACAGCCACTAGATCAGTTTACAGAGCTCTGTTCTTTTATTTTTCGCTGGAGAAAATCAAGACGGGCCTGCCTTATTTAACTTTAGGGCCTGCTGATGAGCCCTGTACCTCTTTAATTGCGCGCTTTTGCAGAACGGTAGTCGGACCAGATGCTTCATATTCCACTGTAAGACGAACATAGATACATGCCAAATCGAGGCGATCACGTAATCTTACTCTTTCACTCTTTTCCATGGAACTGCGGTGAGAGTGAAAGCACTTGCATCTGGCACCTATGGCAGAATCTCAGTTGCTCATTCCTCTACATGTGTCTTACATCAAGTCGCTTGGAGATGTATGCAATATTGTACTTATATGGAGTGCAGCTGATGCATGGACTATAGAGCAAAGATGACTTGGCGTACCATATGACTGCCCATTTACGGATGAACGCGATTTACTGGGGATTGACGGCATTATGCACTATGGGACACAAGGATGCTCTTGACAGAGTAGAGGTTATCGATTTTGTACTAAGTTGCTGGGACGACGAGGCAGGTTTGTTTTGATTTTGATAATACTTGGGACTCGGAAATGACAGTTTCGGCGACAGGTGGATTTGGAGCTCATCCGGACCATGATGCGCACATCCATTCAACACTGAGTGCTATTCAAATACTATTGACACACGATGCGCTGGATAAGGTTGATATAGACCGCGTTACTCGATGCAAGTAGGATCCTCATACTTATCCTGGTTGTTTGTCTCACTCGAGCTTTTAGTCATATTATCACTCCAGAAACCTTCCGGCGTCTTTGCGGGGGATGAGTTTGGAGAAACGGATACCCGATTCTCATACTGTGCCATCAGTGCACTCTCCCTTCTGGGCCGGTTGTCTGACCTTGATGTCGAAAAAACGGTCTCATACATCCGACAATGTAGGAATTTTGACGGAGGATTTGGAAATACGATTGGAGCAGAAAGCCATGCTGCGCAAGGTTAGTGTATATGTCACTAATATCGTACTTTGTACTGACGTCCAGGTAGTTTTTGTTTGCGTTGCCGCGTTAGCCATTCTTGATCGCTTAGAAGAAGTGGATCAGCAAACCCTATGTTGGTGGTTAGCTGAGCGGCAGCTTCCAAATGGTGGACTCAACGGGCGACCTGAAAAACTAGAAGACGTGAGTGCGTCTTCCTCCAAGGACAAGTTCATCTCTTAATCCCCTACTCCCTCCTTTGATTGGTTTAGGTATGCTATAGTTTTTGGATTTTGTCGTCTCTGTCTATTATGAGAAAAGTACCGTGGATTGATGCAGACAAGTTGACTGCATTTATATTATCTTGTCAGGTATGCTGCCACTCCATTTACCACCGAAATAATACTAAGTGTTCAACGATGCACATAGGATCCAGAATCGGGAGGAATTGCTGATCGTCCTGGGGACGCAGTTGACGTCTTCCACACTTGTTTTGGCACAGCAGGTAATATTGCAATATACCGTTCTAATTAGGTGCTGAAACATTGCAACATAGGCTTGTCGCTCCTTGGATATCCGGGGCTAGTCGATTTGGATCCCGTGTACTGTATGCCTGCGAGTGTCATTGAAGCAAAGGGCCTGCGGAAGGATTGGCAAGCTCTACATCGCAGGCTATCATAAAGGCAAACATGTATTTTTCAAACAATGTATCTCTGTGTTAGTGTAGAGTATACTAGAAAGAATATGTGTGAATTTAGATTTCAGTTTCCGTGAGGCGCTTAAACATCCGAATATGGAATTGTAACTTGCACGTGAACCATGTTCCGCTCATCTCTTTGCAGGATTTCCTTCGCTCGGGCAACCTTGAGATACAGCGTAAAGCCACAAATACCAAGGCTTTTGTGCTTGCCAGCCCGCAATTATACCCAGCCCGCCAGTTCAAACACTTTGAAATCTGCTGTAGTGACCTCGCTTCCAAAGAATTGTCCATCGTGCGGCTCACCTCTACCGACACCACTGCCCGCTTGCCCAAAATGTTTTTACATCGCAAGATTGCACCAATCAATTCCGTATCATGAAGTCTTCGGATTCCCATACGATCCAAATCCATTCGTTGTTGATACCTCCACTCTCAAGCGACGTTTTCACGATGCTCAGCGGGTATGTCACCCAGATGCGTGGGCGACAAGGGACGATGTAAGGGTCTTTTGCTGTGTGTTTGTTGTACATTCTTATTCGATTCCTCGTACAGAACTTACGGGAAGCGGCGTTGGACGTCTCCAATCTTATCAACACAGCGTATAAAACACTCTCCGACCCTCTCCTCCGTGCGGAGTATATTCTTCGGCGTAACAATGTAGAGGTTGAGGAAGCTGATCAATTGGATGATATGGAGCTCATTTCTGAAGTAATGGAAGCAAGAGAAGAAATAGATAATGTCCAGGCCGGAGAGTCTGCCCGCCTTTTCGAACTACAAGACGAAAATGACGGTATGTCTTCCTAATGTTTCAATTATCCTTGGGCACCACCGTGAATAAATTTAATAAATTAACAATCATTTTACAGCTAAAGTCCAAGAGGCTATAAATAATATCAAAGAACTGGTTCAGCATAAAAGATGGACAGAAGTGAAGACTGCCGCTGTACGACTCAAGTACTTACAAGGAATTAGGGATGCCATCAAGCATCGACTGGATAACAATTAAACATAATAATATTCATGAAACAAGCATTTATGGGTTGGATACTTCTGTCTTTTCCAGGGGAGCTGCATCTCTAGAGGAACCTTACAGCTTGTATGAGAGCAAGCCTGTCGAAAGGTGGAGAAAAGTGGACATAAAGTTTGAGTGACACAGATACTGATGTCAACATGGTCAGCGTTCCGCACATATGTGGCCAAGCACAGCGTATGATGTTTATAGGGTGAATGAACGTCCTGCTTCAAGTCGGTATTTGTTATTACAGAAGGAACGGAACCATTCCTAAAGCTCCATAGTAGGTTACTATACATGTTTGTACTCAAATTGCATTTTCATTTTCTGATATCACTTCAGGAAAACTAGTTGACGTTGACCGCTGCGGATCGTGGTGTTACGCCTAGTCGCATAGGTTGATATCATTAACTTGTGAGGCGTGACGAATCGTAAGAACAGCGCCTCATCATCACCTCAGTAAATTTCATCACCGTCTACGGCTTCGGGATTTCTTTCGGATGGACGCTGTCAATGAGTGCCATTGGTCCCCAGAAACTCCGTTGCATCGGTCCTGGTATTGGTCGTTATCGAAATATTTATTGGGTTACCGTCTCTATCCATCTGGAAAACTAGTGACGAGGTTCTGGGATCTGAATCTGTAAAGGTCGCAAAACAGGGGTCCCTCTCAACATTGGCTCTAGTTCCTGTGGCATTAGTTACCAAGTTCACCAGTTTTCCTTTCATTGCTGTCGTAACAGTTATTCCGTACCACGCATGAAGCTTCATGCATGCCACCTCCACGGTTTATCCCCGTCACGACCGTGTTTGACCTGTCGCTCTCCTTGCGTTATCTACGGCGATGCGAGAAGCTCGGTCATCTCCTCTTCTCGCCCCCAATCTGAAAGCTAATAAAGAAATCGAACGCCCCCAGACAATGTGAGGGCTATGTTGTTTTTTGTGAAATTCCGCTATCCTCTCTATATAGCTAATCAATGTGATCCATTTCCGTTTGATCTTATTTCGGTTTTTTTTGGTGTAGATGTACGCTATCATCTGGGTGGCATCTCGAAAACCTTTAACCATATACTATACGCCAATTTTGCCTTTCGTTGAGAAAGCCATCTTAATGTTCGCCAACCTCCGAGTTTTGGTCACTAGATGATGATTCTCAGGCTTGGTGACCTCATTCATCAGCTGCTTTCACTCCGATTCCTTGTCCTAGCCCTCACCAGGGCATGTCTCGTGAGTTGTATTTCAACTGCTAGCTCCTATCACTGAAGGTTAAAAACTTACGGACATTGTCATCTCCGCAACTTGTCAGGTTCTTTGTCTACTTACCTTACCAGGATAAGCAGGCAATGCTCCTACATGTTCGATATGATCCGTCCATGCTGGGATTCTTACGAATATCACGATGACGTAGGTGACTCAGGGCCCAAACATATATTCTCCGCTGAAGGACGCCCATTGAACGCCCTGCGTGATGCTACAGCATTCCAGTGCTTCAGCTCCATTGACAGTAAGTACCTGGAGCCTTGCTGATACGGGCCCCGAATAGATATGCGATCTCAGTTAGAGTCTTTGCGAGATTCCGCAGCTGCAGAGACAAACGCTGGTGAGGCTGTGAGTGTTTGAAAAGGACACGATGAGTGAACCAGGCACCACCGGCGTCTAAGTACCAGCACCATACGACGTATTGCGCCTCCTGCATTCGTTCGGTTATGGGGTCTTTCATTTCTTAAGGTTTGGTGCCGAGGGGCAGAGATACACTTTGTGTCCAGCTGATTCGTTAATCTATGATCATGTATCGTGACTCTCCTTCTCTTTTCCACCGTTATCACAATGATAAGATGAGCCGTGAAACATGGAGTTTATACATATGTCAATGTACAGTCATCATTAAGATATGACTCAGTCATAATCTCTACTTGTCCTCCGCTTCTGTCTGGATGAGTCTCTGTGCCTGTTGTCGTCGCCACGTATATTTCTTGTTGAGCTGCGATCTCTATAATCGGGGCCACTTGCAATAGGAGAACGACTCCGCACCCGTGGACCTCGGGACCTTACTGGCGATCGACTGCTCCGAGAAAGGCTCCTCCTTCTCGAAGGAGGTGTGCGATTCCGTGAAACGGCCTCACGGTCTTCGTCTCTGTCCCGACGGCCAAGGGAGCTCAATAGCTCTTCCACTCCTCTCATACCCTCGGATTTTACCTGTAGCTTGCGTGCCTTCTTTTCCTTTTTCCGTTCCTTCCTTGCCTTTCGTTCTTCGGGTGTCTCATCCTTCCGCTTGTCTTTAGATGACTTTGACTTTTTCGTCTTCTTCCGAGCCTTTTCCTCTTTGCGCTGGGCTAAAAGATAATCGCGCATGGGATCCTCGGGATCTATAGAGGGGGCTGAGGATGCATCCGAATCTGACGCCTCATGGTCATCTGCGCAGAACCATGTCAGCAAGAACGTTTCCGAAACATACAAACGCGCCCAGAAGAAGATGCGTTGAGATCTTACCCATAATTAACTTGGGCTTAGCGTTCAAACTTTGTTCTTCCGGCTCACGCCATTCACCATCTTCACCCTTTGCCCCAGGCTGTTTGTAGTTCTTGACATGGTCCACACGCAGTGTTTTTTCAAGGACTTTAGCCCCATTGAGATTATCCACGGCCAATACGGTTGACCGTTGATCTTCGTACATGAGAAATCCGAATCCCCTTGTTTTACCGGTGTTTTTGTCACGAGGCAAATTGACATCCATGACTTCGCCATATCTACGGACATTGTGTATCAAGAACATACTTAGCGTGCAACCCAAGCAACGAACTTACTGTGAGAATATAGCAATCACGTCTCCTTCTGTCAGCTCGAAGTTGAGGCCTCCGATAAAAATATAGGCAGAGTCTAGGAAGATGTGAATATGAGTGAAACGATATGCACAATAGCGGGTGTACGATACCTTTGTATTCATCGTGCCATGACCCACTCACGCCCAGCTCCAGTTCACGCTCGTTTATCTTGCTGATTTCACGTACAACACTGGATAAAATGTAGCATTTCAGTGTAATTCCAAGCTCTGGGTAAACGACCATACCTACTTCATGGCAGCCCAGGTGAGAAAGCACGATTCCCACGCCTCTGTCATCCCGTCGAACTCAAAAAATCTTCACTTTCAGCTTTCCAGCAGGCTTGATCAACAAAATGGCTTCATTTTCCTTGCCGCATATTCACGATAATCCAGACGGAGGTTGGGGACCATCGTCCTCGAATATCCCCGAGCAATTCAAGTTCAAGGATATCCCCTACGCACCCTATTCAAAATCTGATAAACTTGGCCGGTTTGCGGACTGGAACGATAATTTAGACGGCCGTCAAACTGCTGTCGGTCTTCCAACTACTCAGAATGTTCGTGGCGGTGGTGCGGGACGCAACAGAAGAGATGGGGCTCAGGCATTTGGAAGTGGAACGGCGAGTGCTTTCGCTTACTTCCATGTCGAGGATGAGGCAAGCTTCTCTCTCGTCGACAACAAACCTGCTCCACCTCGCAGAGGCGGTGCCTTTACCCGTGGAAGAGGATCTGCTAGGGGGACTGGGAACTATGCTGCACGGGGTAATCAGAGAGGCGGTCGTGGAGGGTACAATAATAATCGTGGTGGTGCTCAGCGTGGCGGAAGAAGGGGATGGAGAGACTGGGAAAAGGTATGGCTTTCCTCATGGCATGTACAGCTGGAAAGTTTGACGGTTTGCTCTTCTTCAGAACAATCGTACTCGTGAATCTTCTGTGGCGATCTCTCCACAGTGGCGGATGCTTGAAGAAATCGAATTCCATCGGCTCGCCAAATTGAGGCTCGAAGTTGATGAGCCCGAGAATGTGTTAGTTCACTTCAAAAGTGGTATTGTGATTTTTGCTGATGATATCTTCAGAGACACATACGGCAAAGTGTTTGCATACGAGAAATCTTATGATCGGATAACCACAAAAACCGAGCGTCCTTTACAGCTCGTCGATCGCATTAAGTATAATACGACAACCTCTGATGATCCAGTCATCCAGGAAGTGAGTCGCAGGAGCCGTTACATCAAATATTCTCCCTACTAATAGGGAATCATGGTTAGCTTGCTGCAAAAAATACCGCTACAGTCTACACCACAGATGCTATCCTCAGTGTACTCATGTGCGCACCCCGTTCCGTGTACCCATGGGACATTGTCATTCTCCGAGAAGGAAATAACTTGTATCTTGACAAACGTGATGGTGGCCCATTCGACACTGTGACAGTGAACGAGAACGCGTCCGATCCTCCGCAGGACCCTACTCCTCCTAACCCCAACAATCCAAATGAAAAGGCTGCTCCAGAAGTTCCTTCAATCAACTCGGCTACATCTTTATCACTGGAAGCTACTTACATCAACCAAAACTTTGGCTTCCAATCAGTCATTGAGAACGGTACCCCTGCCCCGGTTGACTTTGCCCATCCAAATCCTTTCTACGGCCCTGAAGAAACTGAGCCGCTCGCATCCTGCGGTTACCGCTACCGTGTCTTCGACCTTGGTATCACTGAAGATGAAGATATCAAGATTTGCGTTCGTACTGAAGTGGATGCCTATATTGCAGGACAGGGCAATCCCCGAGAGGGCCAAGGTTTGGTGACGATACGTGCACTAAACGAATTCGATCCTCGCGCGCAGGGAGCCGGCGGTGCACCGGACTGGCGTTCGAAGTTGGATTCTCAACGCGGTGCTGTCGTTGCTACGGAGATGAAGAACAACAGCTGCAAGCTCGCCAAATGGACAGTGCAGAGTGTGCTGGCAGGGGCAGACCTCATGAAAATTGGGTTAGTAAATTTTCTCCATTCGCGCATGATAAGCGGATACCGAATTCGATCGTAATCCAACTATCTGCGGGTGCAATCAGGACAATTGACCTGTTTTACCGGTTCGCTAACGTGTGTCGTCTGTCGTTTTAGGTATATCTCGCGAGGGAACCCAAGGGACAACACCCGCCACGTGATTCTCAGTACTGCGTCGATGCGTCCTACCGATTTCGCGGCGCAACTTAACGTATCTCTCGCCAACGGATGGGGAATCGTCAGGACCGTCACTGATCTATGCATGAAGATGCCTGAGGGCAAATATGTCTTAATCAAAGATCCCAACAAGGTAATTTTCCCCCGCAAACTCTATCTGAAGCGTACCCCATATGCTTCTCGTCATCTTATTTCATGTTCGTCATGCTAATCACTCGCTACAGTCTGTAATCCGTCTATACGCTGTTCCTCTTACCGCGTTCACTACCGAGGATGAGGAAGGAGAAGCTTTCGAAGAAGATCCCGAGTCCACCGCTTGAGAGTGTAGAGTGTATAACAGCACGATGTACGGACATAAAATGACGACTTCGAATCAATCATGCATCTTTCGATGATAGTTTAGAAGTTATATATGATGATATCATGCGCAGACTTGTTGTATACAAGCTGATGTGACGGCTGACATGATGCGAGATCTAACGAGACACTGTCTTTATCTTGATGAACTTAACAAAATTTCCACCGCTCCTTCGACGTTAGGGCTACGAGAATAATCCTTGAGAAACGGCAATAATAAATCAGATAGTGGACATACCTTCGTTGAAGAGCTGCAACAACAACTGCCCGTTGGACATCGGGGAACATGCCAGTCAGCTGCGTAATTTCCGCCTCGCTTGGAACACGCATGCCCGGTCCCGCACTATCTGCTCTCCCTGTCAGTTCGTTGACCCACTCCCTCATGACAGAGCTGCCCGTATTTTCTTCGGTACTGCCTGTCCGAGTGCCTGTAACATCAGCCGATGCTGGACGAGCCGTCGTTATCACTTCTTCATTACCTACTCTGGCTTCATCTGTTCGAGTGGTAGTGCGAGGCTCCGGACGAGCGCGTGTAAGACGACGGGGGGGTCGAGTGGAACCAATAAGCGGAAGCAAAAATCGCGTCGCAAATCGCCTGACGGGCGATGACAAGCGCCAACTCTTCAAGTCTGTCAGATCCGAGCGATATATTTGCCCAGTAATAATACCGATCAAGGCTACTACCGCAGAGCCTGGAGCATGTCCAGCAGCCAACTACAATAATTAACGATTAGTTAGTCAAATGTGATTGCGGTGGTTAAGAAGGAGGATACTTGGGAGGCTAGGATGTAGGTGAATATTTTGTTGCTGACGGGTACACTGAATATACGGAATTGGTAGATTGAAGGGACCACTCTGAAATATTGATAAAGGATTGCAAAAATAAGTGATAGTGGTCCTGGCGATATATGGTTTAGCCCGATGCGATAGAATAAAAGGAGTGCCATAAACTCCAAGATTGTCGAGACTAGAGCGGAAGCAATGGCAAACGACTATAGGGAAATAGTGAGCCAATCCTTGTATTGACGATCGAAAAAAAAAAAAAAAAAAAAAAAAAAGGGCCACAGGACATACCGCAAACTTTACGGTCCCAAACTGCCGCTCAACCTGCACACCGACATTATACAACAGCAACTCTGCAAGAAGCAAATCACTCGAGTTTGAAAAAGCAAAGTGGTGGGCGACCAGGCGCCAATACTATGAGTGACAAAGGGAATGCTGATTCAGGCTCAGTCTCTTTCAAGTCTTGAACAGCAAAGTTGGCCATACCTGGTGGTGGCGTGATATGTGAGGAACGAACTGTGGAGAGCGTCAGTAACCTATGAGATGCGACAGCAAAGCATCAAAGCTCCAGTAGGCTTACTTGAAGGTGTAGGTAATGCTTCACATCGAACACACCAGCAATGATGGATGTCAGGGCACAGCTCATCATGAGCCCTGAAGGCAAAGAAATCCCAGAAGGAAAATGGTAAGTTTTGATGAAAAACGGCGCCTCTGAGATGCTATTCAACTGAACAGACCTTTTGATACGGGTGCATTCTCAAAAGACATGTTTGCTTGACTACGGTCCCAACAAAAGGTTGACTGCAATACAGTGCTCAGATTTTAGCGGTGCCCGTCAAGACTTTTCCACAGCGAAAGCAGCTTATGCGTTGGTAGTAGCGGCGTGACTGTAAGGTTTGCTTACAGAACAGAACGCTCGCGGTGGCAATTTGCAGTGTGGCTGTCCCGTGTTCCTTTCCCTTTCCTTGTTGTCCCGGTCATCTACTTTGCTTTTCATTTCTCGCTTGCCACTGGCAGTATCTCCTCAACGGAAATGTCGTCGCTTCTGGTGGGAACCATGAGCATAGCAAAGTGATTCACAGCTCCAGCGATCAGAACGTATCCAGTACAATTGTCAAACGGAGAAAGTCTTGCGACTTCAGACAGATTGCACTGATAAGTCAGCCAATCTGGTCGCTTCTATCCTCTACCTGGCAGTACTTTCCAGAAGGGACTATCGCAATCGTGGTGTAACGTATGCTGTTAGCTTACGAACCGACTGGATGTTGCACATGAGCACTTCCAACGTTCCATGGATATGCTGCTGTATTCGATCCACCCAAGTCACCGATGTGACTAGTACCAGCGTCAGTAGGCGTCGGCTGTATACTATTTGGCCGTCTTTCCAATTCACACCAGTGAAGTGCGTCCATGGATGTTTCAAGCCATCACCAATTCAGATCCGTCAGCATTCACAGATACTCTACTACCCAATAGAAAAGTGGTATGTCCAGAGTTGAGTTTCCCATTGTCACGTTAAAAGGCACGGTTGGCGGCGATGCCGCGTCTACAGCTATAGTCTGAAACTGGGGTTGCTTCTGTTATTGAGCTTCATGATTCAATAGCTGAAGCGCCTGGGTGTTCCCTTTGCCTGTTTCTCGCTCACCTATACAGTTTTGTACACAAGCGCTCCCAGCATGAATGTCTCTCCGCATCTCCACTTTCTAAATCTGGCTATCCGGGTGTTTTCTCTCCAGCTATTTGTGCTCGTTCCTCAATATCTTTGCTTTTGTCTCCCTTCCATCGGCTACCCTGGCTTTCGCTTTTGCCTATACTTGGACGGCTTCTTCCGTTCTACTTCCACACTCGTGGCGAGTCTCATTCTATGAATATCTCGTCATACCAAGTACGCTGGTGGTTCCTGACATGTAACGTACGTGCGGATAAATTGCTCATGTGAACGCGCTTCTCGGTTTATGAGGCTCCAGCCGACGGTATGTATGGTCACAAGTTGGTTGTTGAGACTTGCCTATAGCGAGAGGAACACCGTGACTGACTTTTTGTATTTCATCTCATGTCTTCTCAGAAACGATGCACCGCCCTGTCATTCACTTGAACAGGCAATGCTCTCGGTATACGGCGAGGACAGTCAGCAATGTGACTCACTGGTGTGGTACTTATGTTGGTTCTCGCTCTCACACAAGTCAAAATCCTGGCACTTTAAGTTGCTTACCTCACGAAGCCACGCCAGCCCACATGTCTTGCAATAGCAATGGCAATGGCAGTCATTCTCCTACCATTATGATATTCGTACGGACCGGGAAGACTTTCGGGAGTTGTACGCCTATTCAAAAGCAGATTGGTGTACCATTTGGTTCCTCAATCTAGCCCATTTTTCGGAGGCAAAGACACAGCCGTCGCATGTACCCATATAGGCGGGCCGTCTAAATCGTTGAATAGGAGTTACGGTCTTTGGGGAACCATACGCTACCGCCGACGCGACAATTCGGAGAAGCAAGCGCCACAGAGCTCGACGTTACACGTTCTACATTCTCAGCCAGGCCGTACCACGGTGACAGCTGTACCATGTGGACGTATTTCCTCCTATTTCCCAGATTTCTCTGGAGTGTCGAGAGGCGGCGTTCCTATGCATGTGGCTGGAATGGTTCTTGCTGTCTCATAAATTATCGTGTCTAGCTAGTCCACGATAAGTATTATACTTGTTCTTGCATTGCGATACGAGTGCTGCATGCGGAAGCGACTGGTTGAAAAACTGAACCGCTCGTCCATAATGGGTAACTAAGAACCTTGTGAATACATCCGCGAGCCCAAAGTGGCGCATCGATGGTGAGAACTTCCACGCTTAGAAATTCGCTCAGCTCGAGGCGAATACCTTGGAAGCTGTGTCATATCAGAAATTGCATGGCGACGTTCAACATCGAAGGCTGACAATAATAAGCTATCAGCTCTCTTCTGCACTGCCTGGTACTCCAGTACACACTGACGATTCATTCCCTAGTTCAGGTCTGCTGACGGTCGTCCCCCACTTATCTTCCAATCTGTTCATATGTGTTTTACCCATATAGGCAGATCGTTCCCCCCTCGGTTGCCCTGGGGCCGCGGAACAGCAGGAGGATCCAGTGAGATGGGCTGGTGCCGTAGTCAAGAGGGCGATTGTGTCATAAGCTGATGGCAAGGGGTGTGAAGAACTCTCTACCTCCCAGGGAATTCGAAGTCCTCCCATTGGCGTCAAAAGTACTATGTTTTGCCATCTTGTGCTTCTATCACTCACTGCCTCACTGTCTTTCCTTAGGTTGTGCTCATTCGTCGCCCCCGATCTCGACAGCTCATATCCGACGATCCGAAGATATGCCACCTGCACACTCTTATCTCTCCCTGATTCTCGAGTGTGGGTGGTAGCCTTTCAGCCAATCTTAAACAAAAAATCCTGTGCGCGTCCAGGCCCAAACCTGGACCGCACGACTCCGACATCAGCTTCTACCGTTGGAATGTTAACTTGCCGCTATGATACTATTCCTGAAGGAACCATCACAGCCAGTTCACTCGTACCTGGGCAGGTCCCATACATTCATAGCTCTCGCAATCCCTTCCTTGCTCTATGTCAAACAAAGTGTCCACGTTGAGGCTTCATGTCACGCAATCCGGTGAAAATGGACTGCCTGAACTTCATCTAACATTAGCTCTGTAAGATCGATCACAGACTTGTGTCGTACTGCCACTGACCGGCGATTTTGGATTCATTTTACTTAGATAGTCCACACGCTACTCCACTTGGTCACCTGAATCGCCCAGTGGCACTTGATGAATTAATTATTCCGGAGCAAAAAGAGCCTTTGGCTCCTCTTGGGCTTTTGATGGTTTCATATCATACTCTCTTGGTGGTATCAAACAAAGAGTTACCAGAACATCATCTCTATGACCGACTTGGAAGTATCTGCAACTGTCAATGGCCGCTGGGGCACGGTAGCATCTCACTTCCTTGTTTGTCTGTTCGAAAGATCAGTTGAGTCTACGTTCAGATGGCGTAGAGGCTGTTGACCCTTTGATTTCGTAGCGAACTAAAGCTAATATAGCTTACTGCACTGTCCGTATCTGTTCCAAAAAAAAGCCTGCGAAGGAAGCTTTCTGTCCACTAACCTTTTGTTTTTGTTTTTGGCGTGATGGCATACATGTACAGCCTCTGTCTTCTGTTGCGACAGGGCGGAAGTTCCGGCGGACGCTTTTTAATTCGCGGTATGTGACATTGTTTGATTCCATTTTATTTATGTACCTTAATCTGGCTGCGCTCTCGTCGTGCGCCGTACCCGCGACTATAAGTTGTCTTTCCGCTGTCCGTTTACAGGTCTATTTCCCGCTGACCGAGACATCCGCTTTAGATACCGCTGGCCGCCTTCGACGTTATCTACGATTTGACAAAGGACATTCGGCACCCGTCGTGGCGTAAGAGTTTATAGGCTCGCTGCGACCGCCTCTCCGTCACGGCTGTTTCAGCTGCACCTTTCGAGAGATGGTATTTCAAGTCAATACGGTTTATCTATAATATGGTTTACGTCAACATCGCCCCCCCCCCCTCCTCTTGTGACACTCCGCAAGAGGAGTAGCGACGAATCAATGAGACGAAAGGTCCGCCAGGGTCTGTTTTGACGTCGGCATTGGCACACAGGTTTAATTGCGGAGTTGGGACGGTTGCATTTGCGACTTTTTCAAAGAGTCCCCTTTTCTTTTTCGCTACCTTATCCTTATGGCTGTAAATCAACTTGTGGTGGTGCTTGGAGTTGAAATTGGCCTGTCATTCTTGACAAGAATGCGCAGTGGTAGGTTACGGAAGTGAGTTAGAGACTTGTTCTGGAAACAAGCATCTATCTCACTTTCGCAACCTGCTCCCATGTCAGCTTAGTGGCGGGCAGCTACGGGCCGTCGTCGAGTAGCTTACAATATACAGCGCGAGGGTAGTCACCGCCGGGGTAAAGGTGGCTTTCGCAGCTCATTGACGCTTTCGAACTATTGTTTATCACAATATAAAATATATACATGCGAGAGGCCGTGAATAGACTGGAGATAAACAGCGATACCCACGCCTGGAGAGTGGATCTGCTGTAATGGTCCAGTTGGCGCATCGCGGGAGAAAAACAGACGCCACAAGGAAGATGTAGCACGCAACATCCGCCATATCATACGAATACGACCGACACGATTGTAGAAATGGAAGTAGCAGACTAGCAAATCATAGGACGCAAGGCTTGGAGTTGATGGAGTCTGTAGGATATCGAAGTCGGGCTTGCGTGTGAAAAAAAAAAAACAATGTGCTCGATAGAACGAAGAAGAAGATATGTACAGGTGAAGCGAGGCGGGATCTCATGACCATTGGAGGGAGTGAGATATGAACCTAAGTATAGCGTTCTGGGGCCATAAAGCTTATGTGCTGAAAAGTGATCAAGGTCACGTAACGACGCCAGAGCAGACGTCGCCAGCTGCCGCATCACTGTTCTTTGGCAGACAATGGTGAGAGGTTTGCTAATAAAAGAATGACAGGTACATTGAGTACAACCGCGTCGAGCAGTGATAAAATATTGGACTGAAGGGACAAGGTTTGGGACTGCACCGGGTGTTGTGTGGACCAGGAACGATGGCAAGGTGGTGCGTGAAATATAATTTCGCGAGTGTGTCGGGAACTGGTGACTGTTGAGAGCTGCTCCAACTGTGCATGGATGAGTTCTGTATATGAGAGAAGCTGATCGAGGGATGCCCTGGTGGTTGCCATATGGACCCCGTCTGCTCACCACTTAACCTTAGTCGAGAGCACGATCGCAGACACCACGCGCTATCTGCATTTCACTCTCCGCGCAGATCCACATGCTCGGCATCCCCACTGCCCAGATCGATCATCCTCGTTGGGCACACCAACACGCACAAACACAGATAGAAGATTGATTGGAATATGTCTGAGCGTGAATCTGAGTTTGTTTTCCTCGGTGCTGTCACGTCACGCCCTGCCCGCGACCGTTCCACGTGTGAAAACGATCTTTACACACCCATTGCCCGTGTTTTTCAGTCTTTGAGTTGGACAGACGTGCGTCGGTTATCAGACACGGCCAAAGCGCCACCGAGCTTTTCATTTGCGGATTCAAATTCTAAAGTCACTGGCAAGTGCATATGTTGTAGTCAGAAACGAAAACATGACGAGTGATATCGCATCTCCAGTAGCGCAGGGTTCGAACTGAACTTCTGACTTTCGTGCCATCACAACGCCTGCTTAAAGAATTCATCCTGAAAAATCACAGTAATTTCATATTTGTGGTGAGGCCTTAGCGTCATATTTTGCACTTCTGCTGATCAAGCGTACATTACAAACATTTGCAGATCATCGGGTGGTCGCACCCTCGCCCTCCTCCAACTCTTGCCATCGTCCCCTTCTGGTCCGCTGTACTCTGGCCGCATCTAGTGCTTCCAGGCTACTCGTCGCAAGTTATTGACGATCAGAATCGCACATTTTACCGTTAAAGTTGACTACCAAACGTTCGACTTCCCAACATGAGCACGCCTTCCGTTCAAAACTTGGAGGAAGCGGCCGCTATAGCTTCCGAATATATTTCCAGTCAGTTTTTTTTTCCATCCGCTCTCTATCAGAATATTCCATTAGTTTCTCCGCACCCCTCTGCTACGTCCCGCAGCCTCTCTTCTAGGGAGCAAAATGTGTATCAAGGAACCTCAGCAAACGTTTGAATTGAGGTCTCATTTCTCAAATTTGTTTTTCTATATTTCTTGGAGCGCAGATCGCGTGCTATGGCGGTCATTGCCCCCTTTTATTTTTCTCATTCGATCATGTCATTATCTTCTTCTCCTTCTCGCACTTGCGATCGCTGCTCCTAGACCGTTGTTGGCCTTTTGGTTCGACATCTTTGTCTCAGCCCGCACACGTTGAACCGACGGCGGCGGCTGTAACGGGTCCCGTATTTTTTTAACCGGCTAGAAATCTTGCAGCAGAGATTGGATGTCCATCGGTGTCGAGTCGTTAGTTTGCGTGCAGCACACCTTCTGCACTGAGCTTTTTGGGCCTATCGGCCATCCATGACTCTAACCGATCGGCACATCCCCCCACAATTTTAAAGTTGCAGCCTCTGGCGCCGGAAAAATCTTTATGTCGTGCTATTGTTTCCGCCTACGTTTCAACCCCCCCCAGCCTGTAGCATGCGCTGCTTATTCCATTTATTCTATTTTGCAATGACTTTTTCCCGCCCCAGCTTCTTTCTTTGCATGCGTCATTTGTATAGCTTGTTATCATGCTCCTTCCGTTAGATCCAGGCGGCGGGGACCAGTCTCTGTTTTTTCTTTCTCTTTCTTATCTTATCGTTCCATGGTTTGCGGGTGTTAAGTTTTTTGCCGCAATCAAACCTATTTTTCTGTCTTGGATGGTTGTTTATGCTCTGGCGGTATCGTCACACTGACTGACCGTATCATGTGTTTCAAAATAGCCTTGGACAATCTGCCAAACGAAGTCCAATTTCTCTTGCAAGAGATGCGGACGAAGGAAGGCCAGTCACAGAGTGCGTGACCCCCGTCCGATCACCAAATGCAACTATCACGTCTAATCCATCCCTGATTGTTTGACAGAACTGCAAGAAGAGATCGCGACAGACTCTAGAAGATACATCCGACACACACTGCGAAGCGCGAATGATGGGGGTAACACGACCGCCACTGCCACTGCCACCACGACCGGTACTGACCCCAAGGACACCAAGGAGCCGACCAAAGCCTCCCCTTCTCCACCGACCGAGAAACTCAGGCATGCACAGATGACCCTGAACGCCCTCGCTGCAGAGAAGATCGTGCTCGCGACGCGCATCGTCGAGCTCATATCGCGCGCACGTGCTCGGCTCGAACACGATCTGGGCCGCGTGCTGGTGTTGCAGGGCGAGCCAGACCCGGCGGCTACGGTGAGCGCGCCGGCGCTTGCTGCGATTGGCGCGGGGACGACGGGCGTCAATGCGGAGTATGTCTTGGGCGGACGTAATCCTGCGCAACAGATTACAGAGAGTCTGCGTAATGCGTTTGCGGGCGGAGCGGGGATTGCGAGTGGTGGGAGTGGTGTGGGTGTTGGGGCCGGGGCTGGGATGAATAGGATGGCGGTGGCGGTGGGAGGGCCGGAGTTTGGGGGAGCACAGAAGAGTGAGTTATGTTTGGGTGAAAGAGTCGTCACCTGGCTCAATGGTTTGGTTGTGCAGAACGTAAGCTTAACACCCTTCAAGGCTCTATCAAGTTACCGTCGCCGGCACCTGCCTCTCTGTATAACCCTGCGTTGAACCACCACGGACGAGGCCGTCGTCGGCGCGCAAGGGATGCATCCTCCGATAACGACGCGGATGACTATGACTTTGGTGATGAAGGTATGGGAGAGGAGGAGGGTGAGGGCGGAGAAGAAGGTGGGGAGGGAGAGGAAGTGGATGACAAAGCTCTGTATTGCTTCTGTCAGAAATTGAGTTATGGGGAGATGGTCGCGTGCGATAACCCAACTTGTCCGTATCAATGGGTGAGTACAGTTCACGAAGTGATTTCATTTCAAAGCATCCGGCTACCATTTAATTCGTTTTGTTTCTTGTTGCGGTGTGTACAAGCTATTGCTAACGCTACATGTAATAGTTCCACTTGCCATGTGTAGGTCTAAAGCCACCACTTCCAGAAACGTTTTTCTGTTCGGAATGTACGAGACGTGGCATGGGCGCACCTACGGCATCGGGGCCAGGTCGCAAGGGACGAAAGAAGTAAATGGCAGCCAGTGGGTAGGATGCAGGGATATATGCAATGTATTATGAAGGTCATGGGCGAAGGGAGGCCGGTATCATATTGTTGAAGATAAGATAAATGGGGACTGGGGATAGATTAGGAGGTAGTTGTGATACGATAGCGAACAGAGGGGGATCTCCGAGAAGGTGAAGCCAGTCATAGGTGAAAGAAGAGAGGCGTATGAGGAGAGCGGGGAAATTCCGAGAAGGTGAGAAGAGAAGGGAGTGATAAGAAGACAGGAAGGTTCGGGCGGCAGCGAGGAACTGGATGGGTAAGCTCAGCTGAGGTCTATCTATTGAGGTTGTAGCCGGAGATTGTTCTGCCACGGACATCGGTTGGAGACGTGTATTTGTATGATTTGTCTATTGACCGTGCTGTCCGCCCCTCCTCGTCCACCCATACGCCGTCGAGCGTCCACTTATACCCCACGCACGTGCCATGTCATCGCCACCTGACTTGTTGCGGGCGAGGCGCTGTGGTGGTGGGGGAATGGAACGATGTTTGAAGGTTCTATCTTGGAAAGGAGCATTGGGGAAAACAAGAGACGAGTATCGCGGTCCTCGGACGTTGCTCACCAGCGTTGTTGTGCGTGCTTCCATTTGCAGTGCCCTAAACGTTGAACCATTGTCGGCGTCCAACCTTAGTACTAGTACCCTCCCTTGTTATCACATTCACACGCATAATTAACTGGGTCGTGAAATGTATTGTATTGTATCTCCTTATTGTATACTACTACATCCGTCCATTCCTGGCAGTCTGAGCGCGACCATGCTTTCTCGTGTGTGCTGTCAAACTGAATGCTGCTGTCATACTCGAATCCTGTGCCAGAGAGCCTGACTGCAGAGCCTGCTGTGACCCAAAATAAGGTTGTTCTGCAGGAGGAGGCGTCAGGTTTAGCTTTCGCTTTAGTCGTGTCCGTAACAGGACCTCGAACACGTTGAGTGTCCATGACAGGGATGACATATCGCAGTCATATCGCCTGGATGGTACGCGAGAGGGCTTATGTGGATGGACCAAGCTGTTTTTGGGTCATGTGTAGTATGTGCTTCCGCGCTCGCGATTGGGTTGGGTGAACTGTTCTAGTGGGCTGAGCTTACTGCATGCCTGTTCAGGAGAATTCATACGGAGAGCTGTACGTTGACTGTGGTTGATACTATTGCCCATGACTCATGCTGACCTGCTGTGACACACCCGACGCGAAGCCCCATCCACTTGTCCTCAGTCTATGAAGGGCGCGGTCACGGTTCTACCGCTGACGACACCTCCCCCTGTTACATCATTCATCACGCGAACGTCACATCGTGTGTCACAGGGCGAGGGTGCCCTCTTCCGCCGGCGTACGTAGCCGTCACGTATCGTTTATACGTGGACGACGTCAGCACGCGGGCCGGCCGGTCTCTCCGGCTCTTTCCCCAAGGGCGCGTCGGGTTTTCCGGTTCATATCCCGCTCACCATTTCGTTTCATATACTTCCCCATATGCATGCCACATGTACACGTACGCTGCATATCGTCACGGTACACAATATAACTTACTTCCGTCCTGCATTCATACCAAGCTGGGCAACGTTCAACGGCCCGCGAACGCGCATAAACCGGGACAGGGGATAAACAGAAAATGGAAGTATGAAACGAAGAAGTTGGCTGGCTCTCGGTGCGCATGACCCTGGTCTTTGTGGCGTTCTGCTGGATCGACCAGTGCCGCCGCCGCGTTTTCTTCGGGTAACCGTCAGTCACGAGGCAAAACTGCAGCCTCATTCTTCCACCAAAATGTCTGAGTATGCCTGACGTGGCTAGGGGAGGTGCACACTCAAGTGCTATTCGGCTGTTTCAGGCGCGTCTGACAAACTGACAGCTGTGGCGTGTTGGGAACGTGAGCATACGTGCTACTAGTACAAGGGTCACTATCCCGTCCTTTCTAAACTACTTTGAGCACTAGAACACCGTGTAACTGCGCACTCGGACGGGGTAAATTCGCGCTTGGGCCTCGAGTAGTACACACCCGCGTGTGTCGGCTCGAGTAGCGTTTGCTGAGTGGACGCGCTGGGGTACGTCTTCAATGAATGGCTGCCCTGACCCAAGCAAGTGCTCCAAGCGCGTCGCAAAATTACAACCATGGTGGAATGATGACATGATACTGGAGGCGTGAATTCTCATTGGACGAGTATTCTGTCCTATCCGTTCTTCACTTTAGTACCCGCTCGGGTTATCGATGGAGTAGCTCTCTCACCTCAAAATCTTGTACAACTTCTCGCGCGTCTATCACCTGTAACTGCACCAGTCCAGAAGAGGGTTGATGCTCACGTATATACCCATGCCACATCAGACAGCCGATGTGTGAGGAGATCTGGGACGTGTGCGAAGAACTTTCCCTTGGTTTCTACAGATTTATGCAGATTTGCTCCAAGATGGCGGTTGACGGCATCGACCATCGGTGAACCGCAACGCGCCAAACAGAAACGCAAAAAGCAAGCCACCACAAAGGCAGAACTCAGATTTCGCGTGAGCGAATTGACGAAAAACGACGAGGATGTTCTTCCGACAAGTATGGTGAAAGGCCGATGAGTGAGGAGAGTCTAAGGATCGGAGCTCAGAGTCCCTAGTTTGGGCGTGTCAGCGGTCGATGCCAATGTTCAGGCAGAATATACTCGTGCTATTCTAAGGACACCGGTTCTCCACTCTATTCAGTCCCAAGTTCCTTTCTTTTCTCGCCCGAGACCGAAAACCGATAAGCCCATGTCAGTCGTTCGTTCATTCTTCCCTTTTTCATCACAGATTTCATACGGAGACCGCGATTCGAATTCAAAAACCAGTCTGTTAATGAACGTGAGCTATTCTTGGGGCGGGGGTTACAGTCGTTGTTACCACGGCACGAGGCACGCACGCATTGGCTATCTTTCTCTTTCTTCTCGCTATCGCTATTGGGTATGTGGGCACGGCGAGTTCCGTAGAATTAGAAGAGGGGATGGGGGCTGTGAGGGCGTCAACGATGTGTGTCAGTGAGACACGGGTATGGGCATGGGGGGAGGCATGGGTTACATTGGGTATGGGCTTTGTCGTTAGGTTAGGGTGATCTGGGCGGTTCGTTCGGAGGCCCTTCACACTCCCCTTCTTTGAAGGTCTGTATCCGATGATGAGGTAGCCTCGCCCAGTGCTACGTTCCTTGTGCCCCCGTTAGACTCGAAGAGACTATAATTACTCGCGATTCCGCTCGGACGACCATGGCTGCGAGGTTTTCGCGACAGGAAAACAAAGTGCGATCGGACGCTAGCAACGAGCGAAGAGCGAAGGGGCTCCAAAAACGGAAATCTCGGGGGTTCTTTTTCCAGGGGGGGGGATGAGGGTGTGCGTGCGTTCTTTCGTCGAGAACCATATCGACGAGGCCTGAACAAGATCTGTGACTCGTGCACCCGTGGCGCGCGCTCGTGCCTCTTGAAATGAGATCTAGAAACCCAGCAAGAGGGGGCAAACGTTATCTTGGGGGGTGATGCTGCTGGTTCTGGGCGCGCGATAGGCTGCGGGAATACAACGAGTCCGCTTCGAGTGTGCGTGGTCGGTTTAGATGGCCGGCGAGGGACGGGGTTGCGGTTTTTTTTCTTGAGTTTCGAGTTCAAGCTCTGGACGGGACGGGCTTAGTGACTTGATGAGCGAGATGGAGTGCCGTGGTCACGCTGTGAAGTCGTCGTCGCGATTACTCTTTTGACATGCAAGGGACGGGAAAGTCTTTGAATTTTTTTTGAACTATTCATTTGGCCTACCTTGGATAGGGTGAAGTTCATGGTTTATACATTTTATGATCCGGGCGTCAAATACTGAAACTATGCCAGTGCGTCCATGCACGTCACGGCTCTCAACTCGGTCACGCATCTGTGAGTGGTCCCACATTGCGTATATATTGACGGTTAGTTATTTCAGAAAGTGTAATGGAAGGACCGTCGTCTTTTAATTCAGGTGCGTCTATGGCGGGGACGCTCTCATTGGCTGTGGGCTGGATATGGACACAATAGGACTCCTTTTTGTTGTCGTCGTCGGACGCGCGGTGTTCAATCGGAAAGGGTGCATCGTGGAGTCGAGCTTGGCGTTGGGCGTTCGGAGGGGACTTGGATGTGGGATCGTGATGGAATGAGAGGCGTCTGTTCGAGTTGGGATCCATGTCACGGGTGCACATGCACATGCTGTGCAAAGTCGAGAGACTACGGACAGAAAGGTAGTCCACCTTACTTTCTACCCTCGACTCTTTGTTGCCGACCCGGGAAACCAAAAAGGCTTCTTCGGATGGGGAGGGTCCAATTTGAATTAGCGGCTCTCTACGATTGAACGATTGAATTGAATTCAGTGGGGACGCTATAGCTAAAAAGCTCGTGATTAATTATCCGACGGTGTACTTGATCATAAACGGTTCGATGTAGGACAGTCAGCATCGATGCTTCCCATCGAATGAGTGGAGTCGTAGCCCCCCTTCGACCGTACCTTGCTTCATCTGCAAGCTGTGCTCGAACGACCGTCGTCGCGCGTTCATACGGCACGTTCTCGCAGCACGACTTAATTTAACTTGGGTTTCCAGGGGGGAGGTTTCGATGGTAGTTCAGTACAAGGTTCATTATACACAATTGACCGTGACGCAGGTGTGCACAACTTGAAGGCCAATGGGGAGAGTTTATTTCGGACGCTTTTGATCACAATGACAGCTATTCAGAGTTTATTCGGGACTCTCTTTTTTTGACAGGGAGTGGAATGGAGGGGGAGGTGTTTGTGTCGCCGGTGTGGGTTCGGTCGTCACTGACTCGGACCGTGACTTGGCATGGACAGCCTTGTCGAAGACACTCGCATGCCAATTCGCGGATGATGGATAACAGTGACAACCACTGAGAGTGAAGCAGCGCACCAGTATCGAGTGGTGTGCCATGCGTTTATTTCGAAGGCCTGCCAGTGTGGACAGCAATCAACGCAACAAGGCACAAGCAGGCCTCCCCTCGCATCTCGTCCGTCCATTCAAACGCGAATCTCAAAAAAGCCGCGGCTACTCAGGCTACTACCAAGTTGGCAGCGCCGCGCATCTGGCTCTGGCACAGCCATGTCCATTCCAATTCGAATCCGACGGAAGAGTACAGTGAACCTTCCATGTCGACCGGTCACGGCAGAAGTCAGTCTTGAGGGAGGAAGCTCGAGTGGCGTATACCGACGTACAGTCATGGCCTGCATGATGCGCCGCATAGCTTTTTTGTTCCAGGTCAAGCGAGATCGAGAAGGTGGGGGGTCCGTCGTCCGTTTCGTGACTCTGTAGTAGTCAGCACTAGTACACTACAGTGGTTAGTAGGCAGGTATCTGATCGCGTGCATGCGACTCATGCTGAGCGCTGATGACCATTGAGAAGTTGAGCCTAAAGTCACCGTACAGCAACTACATATTCTAACACCCTTCGACTTCTCCGTTTGGGTTTATCTTGGCGCTCGAAGGCTGTCAGGTCACGCTCACTGTTTGTGGGATCACGAATGCACGAATCATGGGTCATAGGACCCTTGCGCCTCACTCACTCCGTTTCTCCGCTATTGCATAAGTTTATTTGCATTATACGATGGCAAACGCGACGCTTCAAGGAGAAGAAGAGGAAGAAGGGCAGAGCTAGTCAACATGCGTCGATTTCAAAATGGAATGGGGGGTATTTGTCTCGCGGAGTACCCCCTCCCGGCAGCTTATCTTATTTCATTATCCCTCCCGCCTTTGCGTGATCCCCATAGTATTCTCTATTCTTATACTCCCGCAGCCCATTATGTCAGGGACAAACACAACAGCCTCCCCCCTCCCCCACCGAGCGCGCGTCAGACTGACTGGACTGAGCACTCCGAGGTGGTTTGTATTTGGGAATAACGACATGGAAAACTGGCGGCGGTGTTTAGTGAGGCCACATACCCATGACTGTCGTGCTCACGCTGCCGTAGATTGGATTGCAGTACCCCTTAGGCTACTTGTCGGTACAGCGGGGGTTGATACTCATGATGATACGATATGATGCGATATAATACGATATGATACGATCGGACGAGCGTACCTCGAGTCTGTCGTAAGGGATGCGGTATGCCCTTGGCTCGAGTTTTGATGCGGGAGACGAAGGAAGACTAGCCTGGGGCTGGCGTCTCGTTGAGTCAGCGGGTGGGCGATTCGGTTTTGGAATTGGAATTGGAAGTGAGCGAGGGGGGACGACGGGGGCAGGTGTGGATCGGCAGGTCTTGCCATCGCCATCGCGAACAAGGCCGTCTGAGCCTTTGACAGGCATACTGGGGATACCGTACCGATCGGCTCGAGGCTCGAGGTGGGGATCGAAAGCATATCGAGCCTGTGTGAGTATGCCCATGGCGGTGCGTCTTACGACTCACCTGACTCTTTTCCGCGAATGGCGAAATGTGGTTGCGCTGCTCTGCGTAGAGTTGACGCCCATCGACAGAAGGGGCGTACTTGATCTCGCTTTCGTTTGGGCGTTTTGATCTGTGCGCAGGTGTGACGATGGCGCACAGGCTTTGCGCGGGAGGATAATAAGTTCCTCCCACCTACTGCCCACCGGGTAGATCAAAACGAGGTACGCAGAGACAGACTCTGGGACTCTGGTTTGGACTCTTCGCAGATATCGATGCGCCAGTGCCAGTTGTCAACATGTCAAAACGCCAGTGTGTGTGATGAGTGATGGGATGATGGGGGCCCATCCATGACCATGATGGCACCCATATCAGATGGATGGATGATCGAGTGTTGCAGGCTGCGGCTGGTGGCAGTTCAGCCATGGAGTGGCAGTGGGATGCATTTCATTTTTCATTAATAGGACTCATTATCCATTATCGTTAATGGGACACATTGTCGTTGATGGCACACTTTAGAGTTTGGGAGGGATGGGGATGTTGTTGTTGACCGTGACAGGAGGGAGATGCGGTTCTGGTTGGGTGGGTGTTGTCGAGGGCTGTGTTGGGGTGCGGGATGCGTGTGAGGGGGCGGCCTGAGAGTCTGAGAGTCTGAGAGGCTGAGAGTTTGACAGCCTCAGAGGGACAGGGGAGGGAGATATGATGGAATGCTGTACTGTCAGTGTCTCCGTATCACGAGAAAAGAGGGAAAAAGACATTCGAAATCGCTCTACTCAGCGCGCACCGTCGGTTTCAGCCTTACAACCGACATTGCCAATGAATACGGATGATGAGGCGTCAAAACTTGTGAACGGACGGGGTACTTATGTCAATGAACACGGAGTCGAGAGGTCAGATGTCCAATGGGCTCTCGAGTGACGCCGCGGGCACGGTCGTTAGAGATGGTGTGTATATTTGGAGAGGGGGAAACGTGTGTGCGAGAGCGTGTTACTGTGGTACTGTAAGCTTGGACTTGGACGGGTTGACGACGGAGGGTGTGTATGGCCCTATGGGTGCGCGTCCGACGGTGACATTGCATAGTGCATTGTGTATGAGATGGGCTATGAGTCGACGAATCGAATGTCGATTCCGATTTGATGGAGGCGAGGCTGGGAGAGGCGCGATAAGATTACGGGGTGACTGCAACGCGTCCCAGTGTGTATGTGCGTGCTCCCATTCTTTCCCCCGATTCGTTCATTTCGTGCAAATAGATAATGTGACAGTGATGACTACAGCCTTGGGTCGAGATCGGTACTACGCAGATATGTGGGAATCGGTGATAGCTACGGGTATGGAAGAAGGATGGGGAGACGGAGTGTCCGAGCGCAATGGTTCGGAGTTGGGGGAACGGGGACGAGAAATGAGATCTGAGGTCTAAGCTTCGTAGCGATTTCTAGAAAGTGGGAATCAAAGAAATCGACATCATAGGAGCCCCCGAGAATAGCAAAGATACAAAAAAAAACGGCAATGGAAGCGTCGAAAGAGACGACGAGGGTAAGATGCTCGAGCACAGGTCTATGACAAGCAATGCAGTAAACGGACACACTACTCGAATGGAGGTTCCGATGAGGCGACTCAGGCGTCTGAGTCTGAGACTGTAGGTGGCTTGGGATTGGACGTGGAGTGGGGATGTGGGAAAAGAAAAGGGGATTCCGGAAATAAAGAAAGAGAGCGGTGCCATCTTTTCTTTTCAGTTTTTATTTTTCGATTCATTTTCACATAGGGACTGGAGACGCGACGGGAACTTTGTAAGAAACCGGAGCAGGGGGTAGAGAGGCCCTGATTGGGGAGGGCGAATGGCCGTTTGTTTGTAGAGTTGGGGAATTGACAGGTGTAAAGATAGAAGTGGACGGGAAGGGAAATTGATTTTGAATGGACTGAGAAATGGGATGACCGAGAAGGAAGTGGGACGTGTGGATGATGTGTGCACAGCCGGGAGATTAATTGAATGAAAGATATGGAGGACACATGGTGTATTGGATTGTGCTAGTACAGCGGAGGGACGGTATGTAATGGTATTAAGTGGGATTCATTTGGAGAGTCAGAGATAATGAGTGGGCGGTACCGGTGTTAAGAGTGAGTGACAGGGCGCTGAGGATGGAGAGGAGAAGGATAAGGAAGGAAGCGGCGGTTGAGGAGGCGAAGGGTGGGAGGATGGCCCGAAGAGGAAAGAAGAGGGAGAGTGAGGTGGGGGCGCAGTTCCGGGTGAGGGTGGGGATGAGGATGGGATGAGGATGGGATGAGGATGAGGATGGGATGAGGATGAGGATGGGATGGACTTGGATGGAGAGTGGGTGAGATCGCATGTTGGTGGAGAGGGAGGAGGGGGAGCACGCGGGGAGGACTTACCGGCGACACAAAGGGAGTGGAGGCAACGACAGC